TATTTTTGGAAACTCGATTACGGAATCTTTCCGACACCGACGGTTTTGGAAGGATTGCGGCATGCGCGCGCGACGGCGCGCGCGTGTGCACTTCGTTTTAGTTTTGCAGCAAAGATTCGTTAATAATTGTTATGTTAGAACACCAAATGTCCACGCAAATGGTTTTTTACAAGGGAACCTCAGGGGGGCCGATTCCGGCCCCCCTGGGATAATGCAAATTCATATTTAGGATGGGCATGTGGTCAGAAATCGTATATGATTTACATGCCCGAAAAGGGGACCGATTACGCCAGGGGGGGGTAGAGTTTATTCTCTTGTTAGAAAGGAGAATTGACAACCATGCACCGCGCTTGACCACCTGCCATGCTCTTGCAAACACCACTCCCACCCACTCGCAACTTGGCTTGCAAAACCCATGCGGCGGCGATTGCGATGAGTGCGTGGCGTTGGCTGGTGCATCTCTGCGGCGGCGCCAACCCAAGCACGCGCGCGCACCGGCCAGTTAGTTTTGCGCGACAGACGCGGCAGCGGTGGCGCTGACCGCTGGGCACATCCCAACGGGCACTTCACTGCGAGTCGGCGACTTGGGCGGGAGCGGTACCATGGCAGAGTCGACAATGGTAGACACGATTATGACGGTAGCGATGCTGGTGGCGATGCTGACAACGACGACGGCACGGCCTGTGCGGATGCAGATGCTGATCGCGCCGACGTCGATGACGGCGCCTTCGCGTCGGTGATGACGGTTAGGGAAAAATTCGACTTGCGCGCGCGGCCGACGCGCGAGAGTGGCCCGCATGGTAGTATCTGACACGGATCGTGCCCCCCCAGCACGCGCGCAAGGGCGTGCGAATGATTGCAGCATGCGGCGCCAGAGGCCCGTTTGGCAGAATTCAATGCAACTCTAGAAACAACCCATGGGTGTCTTAAGAATTTGCAAGAGCGCGAGCGCACGCTTTTTTTTTGACAACTGTTGCGAACAAGTATTTTTGTTGTAATAGAATATATATGTGATGTTTTGGACACTGGGCTTAAAATCGTTAGCAATTGGATATTGATAGATTTCCGCAAGCGCGCGACGACGCGCGCGCGTGCACTCCGTCACATCTCTTGCAAGGGATTCTCGTGACGGCACGCGCGCAAGAGCGTTCGAACGATTTCGAAATGCGCGCGCGAAACCCGTTTGGAAGCATGTTCGGAAAATGATGAGAAACCCGTGGGTTTCTTGAATTCGAAAGAACGCGCGCAAGTTTCTGTTTGCACATCCGTGTTGCGAAACCATGTGTCTTTTTTTATGTTTTTTTGGAAGCTCGATTTTGAATTCCTTACGAAACCAAGTTGTTTCAAAGGATTTCGGCATACGCGCGAGACGACGCGCGCGTGTGCAATTAGCCATTTGATTTACAGGCTATTCTTGATAGCTGCTGATTTTTGATCACCGAATGCGCGCGCATACTATTTGTTGCAAAGCATGATCGGGCAAGGCCGATGCTGGCTGGGCTGGATAGTAAGAACTCATACTTAGGACGGACGATGGGGCAGAATCGTATGTAAACTGCACATCCCCAGGGAGGGCCGATAAGTACGGCCTCGGGAGAGGGGTGGAGTCTATTCTCTTTGTGGCGGCGAGTATATGTGGCGGCGACGGGGCTGTACCAGCGACCACGGAGTCGCCAGAGCGACGGACAGGCCCAAACGACGGGCGGCGACGAGGCGGCGACGGCGACGACGGAGCTGTCACACCAACGGACAGGTCCAGACGACGGGCGGCGACGAGGCAGAGACGGGGGGGTTCAACGACCACGGAGCCGCCAGACCGACGGACAGGCCCAGACGACGGGCGGCGACGAGGCGGCGACGGCGAGGACGGAGCAGGACGCGCGTGAACTTGTCCAGGAGACGACCGCCAATAATCCAACCAATCCAGTACGCCCACGCGCGCGTGCGCAATCGTGACACCTTACTTTCGGGATCTATCGCCAGCTGGTTTCCTTCAGCCTGGGTCCTGGCTATGATGCACGAAATTGCCCCACTTCATTGGACGAGACCGTGGGCTGGCGCGGACGAGTGTGCGCACGGGGCAGGCGCGATCCTTGCCGCAAGACAAGGATTGCTCATTACGAAGCCTGCCAGATCGGGTCGAACACCAACCTTGCCCTCCTAGTGGCTGCTGAGATTGGCTCCGGAAAAGAACACTGGCGCTCGAATAGACCAGCGCGCCCGACTGGCCAGCTGAAACGATGCTCTCAATGGGCGGCGCCCACTCTATGAGATTACCGTGTGCGATTTTCGCCGGCCCAACGGGCCAGAGGCTTGCTAAAACCTCCGGTGCGCATTCAAGGGTGTTTCGTTGGTTCGCGCGCGTAGCGGCGCAAAACACCCCGGCAAGGTCCCGCTCGGAAGCGCCCGGGGGGAGCTTCTGAGCGGGCTCCTCCTCCTCCCCCTCCTCTTCCTCCTCCTCCTCCCCCTCCTCCTCCTCCCGTCCTCCTCCTCCTCCTCTCCTCCTCCTCCTCCTCCTCCCCTCCTCCTCCGCCTCCTCCTCCTCCTCCTCGTCCTCCTCCTCCTCCTCCTCCTCCTCCTCCTCCTCCCCCCCCCCCTCCTCCTCCTCCTCCCCTCCCCCTCCCCCTCCTCCTCCTCCTCCTCCTCCTCCTCCTCCTCCTCCTCCTCCTCCTCCTCCTCCTCCTCCTCCTCCTCCTCCTCGGCAAGGCTCCGGCAGGGTCGGGCCAGAGATGCCGGAGCTCCTGGGCGCGGCCTGAGGGGGGCCCGCGGGCGCCCCAGTGCGGCGCCACGAGGGTGGCGCGCCCCGCGGCCTCGGGGCGAGAGCACTCCAAGATTGAAGGGGCCCTGGGACACACAAATAAATACACACAAATAAAACAATCCCCATATTTCCCCATATTTTCTGGGTTTTTGTCTTCCCCCCACTTCCCATATTTTCGGATATTTTCCTGGGGATCGACGATTAATTGTGTCTGTGTGTTTTTCCCATCCTGAAAGATGGACTACGACAGGTTCGTGTCGTGCCGACTTCGGCGTTGGCTTTTGACACCGCGGGGATCGTTCAACCGTGAACGATCGGCCGTTTCCGAAAACGTCCAAATCGTTCCACATCGAACGATTCTGGGTCGCCCGCGGCGTTCAAAGTTGAACGCCGCTGGCGGGGTCGCCGCCGGTCGACACGATACGAACCTACCGTACTCTGTGAGAACGTTTTTTTGTTGAAGGCAGCTCTGGCTTCAAAAAAAGTGTCTTGAAGGCAGCCCTGCTTCCAAAGAACGTATTTCTTGAAAACATGACTTTTTGAAGGCGGATCTGCCTTCAACAAAACATTCTTACAGAGTAGGACCACCTCGGTCCCAAGACGGCCCAAGAAGCTCCACGAGGGATCCAAGAGGACTTCGAGAGCCCCCGAAGACGCCAAAATCATTGATTATGCGGAGGTTTTCGGACGCTTTGAGCGGTACCGCCTTTTCGAGCTGCGGACCGCCCTGGACGGCTCAAGAGGCCCCAAGATCGCTCCAACACGGCACAAACAGCTTCCAAGATGGCCCCCAAACGACCCAAAATGGCCCTAAGACAGCCAAGGAGGCCGCGAAGACGGCCCCAGGATGGCGCCAAGAGGGGGCCCAGAGAGGGAACCCGAACATATATCTCGAGCTCTCGGCCTCAAGAGGCGCCCAGGAAGCCCCCCCCAAGAGGCCCTAAGAGGCTCCCAAGAGGCCCGAAAAGAGGCTCCCAAAACCCCAAACAGGCTCCCAGAAAGCCCCAAGAGGCCCCCAAGAAGCCCCCAAGAAACTCCCCAGAGGCTCCCGAGAGCCATCCGAAGAGACCCCAGGAAGCATTCATGAGACCTCTGACCCACAACCCAGGTACGTCTCGAAGCTCTGCTGGAGCTCTCTTGAGACATCTTGTCGCCCTCTGGGGCAGTCTATCGGCTCTCTTCGACAGGGTGCGAGCCACATCTCCGAAGCTCTCCTCGAGGACAGTCCTGCCTGCCCCACCGTTCCCCATGGGTACGAACACACCACCAAACACCATGCAGCCACCGTGATGCGAAATGGGCCGGCGGAATGAGCGAAACGATTACGTAAGATGTGATGTCTTGTTTCTCATATATGAAGGGTTGAAACTGTTTGCTTGGTCAGGTCATTGAGGGATTGTACCTGTATTTAGCAACTCCCCGAAGAGGGGCACTATGCGGAACAAACAATTGAGCGACAGCTGGCCCCGCAAGCCTGCCCGACCGACAAAACCGTCGGTCTCACAGCGGCGGCTCTGCTAGGACCAGCTGTCTCGCTTGACCAGCCCAAACATGGAATGGCGTCGGACGTAGGGCTGATGCTTGTCATCCACCCGAAAACGAATTCTGAAACCAAAAGCAATGGGAAAGAGGGACGTGTACGGAAGAAGCGGTCCATGGGCGTGTCCTCACTTCCTGTTGCGCGTCGACATGCGAGCACCACTTGAAATTCTGAACGTGTGAAGCCTTCACATCTAACATGCAATCCAGAAGCTGGACCGCAAGGCGACATTGTAATCGGGAAGCCTGGCCAACAGCCAACACCTCCTGGAAAAAAGACGGCCTCACAACCCAACCGCCACGTGTGCGGCTGGTTCCAAAACGTGAGCTAGGACGCGAGAATAGGTCGTGCAAGCATAACCTACGCTATCCAGACGAGCGTCGAAGAATTACGACGGATTCGCTGGATTATACATCGCCTCTGATGTTGAGCAGGGACCGACCGTCCTGGCATTTCTACAGACCTACCACGAAATGTTCTTAGAACCCCAAAATGTTCGAACCACAAAAACAATGTTCTTAGAACATAGGCCCTATGTGTTAAAACAAGACAGTCCCAGCCAGACATGTTCTAAGAACATTTCGTGGACATCACAAGCAGTTCTTAGAACATTGTTTGGTAGGCCTTTAGGCACGCCAGGACGCTTCGCCACTGCTTGATGATGAGCGGCGATGTTCCTCACATTCCTCCAGCCTGGGGCTACCGGCTGCCAGAACGCGGGCTGGCGGCACGAAGTGCCCAGACTGCAGTTGGCGCGTGGCCCAGAGGAGGCTGGCGAGGAACCCTGCCGAGGGGCACGGCTTTGCGGCCAGCCTGGGGGTGAAGTGGGAGGAGGCGGGCCTTCTCAGAAGGCTCGGAAGTCCGCCCGCCTTCTGAGGAGTGGTGTAAGCCTTCCCTGGAGACACTCCTCAGAAGGCCAGAGGGCTCCTGAGAGGCCCCGCCGCCTTTTGGCATGGTCTTCTCCTGCTCGCCGCCCCCCTCGCTCGCCGCCGAAAGGCGCTGCCATCGCCGCTGTCTCATTCTCCACCACCACTCCCCCTGCCCTTCCAGGGCGCCCCCGCGGCGGACACGATGATGATGGCAGCCATGCTGGTGGCGACGATGACCATGACGACGGCAAGGCCAATGACGGCGCCGAGTCGCAGCCCGGGATCTTGTGGGAGCCCGCCGTCGGGTGCACCCTGACCACCCCCGATCCGCATCTCACGAGACCAGCTGCCGCTCCCCTGGGCGTCGAAACAGCTCTGAGAGTCCGCGGCCTTCCTGGGGCCTCCCTCCCGATCCACCCATGTAGAATCGGCGGAACCGGCCGTCAAGCCTCGTGAAGATTACGGGAACTCTCCGGAGACCTCTGGCGAATCCGATCTGTGCGGCAGGAGTGCAGACATGAGCGCCTGCCTGCTCCAAAATGCAATACAAACTGATTGCACCCCCTGCCAGTGCGGATGTTAGTATCATCAACAAGAAACGTTGATTCTACTCTCGCTGCCATCGATGGTGCTGGTGACCGTGTCTGGTGTTGGTTTCGTGGGTACTGGTCCTGGGCTCGTGACTGATGATGCTGGTTCCCTTGTACTGGTCGGTGCTGATGGTCGTCCACTGCAAGCCCCGCGAATTGCTTCTACCACCTTGCGTTCGGAATCGCGCATGGATGTCTCGACCACCCAGTAATTGATGGCGATTAATGCCAGCACGCTCACAAGTGAAGCAATCATACATGCTCTGGATACCGAGAGCACTGCCAAGCCGAGACCACATTCCATCAAGTAGGACGCCCCGGTCGTAAAGCTGCCAGATATATTTTTGTTGAGGGCTCCCGAAAAGAAGATCGCAAGGTTTGAAACGAAGGCTTTGACCATCATTGGCAACACTATCAAACAAGGACTTCTAAATGTCCATTTGTGAAAGAAACCTTGCGCCATGATGTCGCCGATCGATGGGAGTACAGAGGCCGTGAATACAACGGTCAGCCAGAACTGCTGGACGAACAACATCCTGATCACAGCACCTAGCTTGTTTGAATAATCTTTTGTGAACGATCTGCCCTGCACCTGCGCTGTGAGGCCGGTAAGAGCTGCGAAGACTGACGACAGAACTGCTGCGACGAAGGGCAGGGCGTTGAACGAGAAGCTGTCGTCCTGTGTTGACTCGACGTCGGCCATGATGTAGCTAATGCTCAGCATGAGTACAGCTAAACATGCACAGGCCTTGGTCGCTCCTGGCCTCTTTCCAAGCGCAGTCGACTCAATGGCGAGTGTCCAAAGCATGTCTGAACTTCTGATGACATTGTAAAGTGTCGAAGACATGCCGTTCCCAAACGCTATATTCTGAAGAAGTAGGCACGCGCCACATACACATCCAAAGGATGCTCCTCGAAGATACCTGCGATCGAAGAGCAGCTCCGCCTCTGCTACCCCACATGTTAGAACTAAGACCACCACATAGACAAGCATCAAGGCCAAGGACGAAATCAACAGAGGTGGGAATAGGAAAAAACCTGGAGACTCTTTCCATGCGAGTTGGAAACACACTGTGACAAGAGCACATGCTACGGGAGACGAAACAAGGACAACTGAACCTGCGAACTTCTGAACATATGAACGACTCGCTGCGGCTGCGTCTTCTTCTTCAAAACGTTCAATGAATGCCTGCACATACTCAAGCTGCGTGGTACGTGCACGGGTCTTCACCGACTGGCGCGCAATAGACATGTGACGGGAAACCCTGCTTTGTCGCTGACGCCTGGGAACATTGCTTGCAACGCCCGAGTCACGGGGAAGACTCGACTCACGAAACTGGACACCAGTAGTCTGCCTCGAAGAACCATCCACGGCTGCGTCGTGGCATTCTGCGAGGCTGTGCGGGCCAGGCCCTTCGGGCAACGCCATCTTCGCACCTGGTCAGATTCTCAAGCGATGGAACAGTTGAACCAAACTCGCTAGCACGGAGGAATCGGGCCGGGCAAAAGGGGGGGATAGCAAAGGGGGGGGTTGAGAATCAGCTCACGTAGCTGATTTTACCGGCGCCTCCCGGCGCCGGGAGGCGCCCATGGATCGAGGCATGGGCCCGGCGGCGGGGCCGAAACCAGCTGCATGCAGCAGATTTCGTAACCCCCCCTTTCCCAAACCTCCCCTTTCGCCCGACCCGAAGGAAGCGGAGACGCAGGAGGACCAGGCGGAGGCTTTGGAGAAGGGAACGGAAGGGGGGCGGCCACGACGAGGGAATGCTCGGCTCCAGAGCTGTGGCCCGAGACAGGGGCGAGACGGGTGTGCCGACGTGGGCGCGGCGGCGTACGGCGAGCACCTCCACGGGGTCCGCAGGTAGGTACTCCAGACTTCGTAATAAAAGGGAGGGGGTCTGGACCCTCCAAGACAAGCCATTTCAGACCTCCCCCGTGGGAGAACCCTCCAAAACATCGTCCCCAGACCCCCCAGGCCCTCCAAGATAGCCTGGAAGAGACCCCCCCCCGAAATGAGACCCCCCCCCTTTATTACAAAATCTGGAGTAGGGGACATGCGAGGTGCGTACCGAACTGGGCGCGGCGGTGCCATGCGAGCACCCCCACTGGGGCCGTAGATGGAGGTCACTGTTGCGGAACAGACCGTCCGAGGGTGATGCCGAAATGAGCGCGGCGTGGCGCAGGCGAGGAGGGAGGTTGGATAAAGGAGGTGAAGGGAGAAGGGGGAGCAGGAAGGAAGTGAGACGCGCGGCGCTGCGGATTCAAAACGAAGGCCCACCACACAGGAGGGTTGGGAAACAAACAAGCTTGAGAACCAATATAGGCTCTTAAACCGTGTGAAACCAATAAGCACTGGATCGAGAGTCATTTTCTGCAGGAGTGAGAACTCAACATCACCAGAGACACGATCGAGCGACACACACACACACGACCAAGTGACCAAATGATAGCTGTGGCAACCCGATACCTGGGAAACAAGGGACAAGCGAAAACAACGATGAGAAATACACACAAAACATGATGTCGAGGGGAATGCTCGGAAACTCTGCCCAGTGCCATCGCCGTCGCCTCATGCAGGATGGCGCGAGCGCTTTCGTCCATCTTGTCGAACTCGTCGATGCAACATACGCCTTCCGAACCCCGCTCCCACCAACTCGCTCAATGGCGTGGCCCAGCCGACATGCAACTTTTAGGAAAAGCAGCGCCGAAACGACACATCTCGTTGCGGTGGTCATGCTACTGATCGAGCAAACGCGAGTTGACCGATGCTGCCCTTCGGGGGCTCCCAGCCTGGCAACTGTCTGTAGGGAAGATGGTGAACACATCCCCTCCCTGTCGATCATCCGCCGCCTACCCCGTGGGTGCAGAGGTTCGCCGCGGGACTGGCTCCTACATCATTCGGACCTCAGAACGCTCCTTCCACCCGAGCAGGGACCCGGTCGTTCTTGCCCTAGCGGCGCTTGCGTTTGAGTGGAGAGGTGAGGGGGATGATGTGGAAGAGGGAGGGTAAACATGAGAAATACACGAAAAGGCAAGACAAATAGCCATTCACCCCGCTCACTGGAGACCGTGTGCCTCTTGACATCCGTGGGGGAGGCAAAGGGAAGGCACAGTTGGCGCGCATCTCCTAGACCGACCTCGTCGAAACCTCGGGTTCATTCCATGTCCCCGCCCCTCCACTTGCCCGGTGAGCGCACCTCCTGGCTTCTGCGGCCTGCTGCCCCCTCGAAGGAAAAATAAATCCTTCCAGATGTCCTCCTCGTGTGCGCCTCGACCGCATCCACCACCCATGCTCCGAACTGCGCCCAGGCTTCGGGGCATGTCGCTTCCCAGCGGGAGCCGGAAGCAAAAACCTATCCTGAGTGGCCATGTTGAGGCTTGGTGGGGAAGTGGCGGGGATATGGGAGGAGAAGGAGGAGGATGAGGGAGTGCGGGGTCAAAGGGGAGGGAAGTGGGCAAGATGATAGCAGAGCAGAGCAGACGAGGAGGGAAGAAGATTGTCGGGCGAGGAGGCGCCCGAAGAGGACGGCCAGGAAGAGGGAGGGGGCACCGGTTTCTTTTGCCAGCCGCTGTGATGTGGACGGGCGCCTTCGGGGTAGAGGGGTTTCTCTGCTATGCCTTTTATCCCACACCGCAGATCGACAGAACCGCTTGCGTCATCAAATCGGTCGAATCGAATACCATCCACGAGAAAACGAACCGTCCATGGAAGTTCATGCAGCCACCGTGCTGCCATGAGGAACTGCGGATCAGGAGCGACAACTGTTTCAGGCCACGGCCATCCTCGGCCACGAATGCATTCACTCCTGGACCCGACGTGCCCCCTTACTTTCTAAAAAATAATCGAACCCCACGGTGCCCGACTAAACCGTTGGGGGGGGGTTCGAGCGCCCGCGGCGGCGCGCGCGCTCTTGTCCGCTGGTCAAGAGAAAACCACGCGCAGGCATCGGCAAACACTTCGGATAATGGATCGCGTCGCGGGGAGCCAGAGTGAGGCCCAGCACGTCCTCCCGCAGGCGGATTTCGAGGACAAATGCAAAATAGCTAAAACTATGCAAACATACAGGCCTGGGGGGCAAAAATGCGAACACTCATGCCACATTCTTCTGTCAACGCCTCCCCCTCCCCCTGGTGGGTCTGATGAGTTGCACCTCGACCGCAGTCTCCCCCGCGTGTGCCAACTTTGAGTTTGGGGGGCAGGGGGGGTTGTTCACTAATTGTTCCCCTCTACCGTAGTCAAACATTCATCAAGACATCGTCGCCCGACTATTTGCTTGTAGAGGGACAGGCCCGTCTTCAAGCCAGAGCTCCCCACCCCGTCTGTTGCGTGGACCCCGCGCCGTTGGGGCCCCGGGGGGCGGACTTGACATCGGGGGCGGCCAAGAGGGGGGGCGTCCGAGAGGGGGGGGGGGGTGCAAATCATGGCCGGCGGCATGTGCGCGGCCCAGGGGGGGGGGGACCACGGACGCCGTGGGGCCGTGGGGGCCCCGGGGGGCGGACTTGACATCGGGGGCGGCCAAGAGGGGGCGTCCGAGAGGGGGGGGGGTGCAAATCATGGCCGGCGGCATGTGCGCGGCCCAGGGGGGGGGCCAGCGACGTAATGAAATAAGAAGAGACACCATGAAATCTAGCTCCTCCTCCTCCTCCTCCTCGTCCTCCTCCTCCTCCTCCTCCTCCTCCTGCTCCTCCTCCTCCTCCTCCTCCTCCTCCTCCTCATCCTCCGCTTCCTCCCCCCACTCCTAGCCCTTTCGATCAGGGTCGGCGGCACCGGCCGTCAGGCCTCTCCAATAAGAAGAGACACCATGAAATCTAGGGAGATCTCATGGCCCCCGCCATGATAATCCACCCCCCCCGTAGTCATCACCCCCCTCTGTGCCGCCCCGAGATAATTACGGGGCCCACGCCTTCGATCTCGGGGGATGTCGGCACTCGGAGGGCCAGCAGGCAGGGCGCACTGGCTGCGAGCAGCCGCCCACGGGCGGCAGATCGGGACGACCCCCGGCAGACCAGGGGGATTCCGGCGACCCCGGAGCCCCACGCGGGTCAGCTGCCGCGCGACACCCCAAGGCCCAAACTCCTCCAACACACACCACACACACACACACCACACTACACACACACTACACACACACTACACACACACTACACACACACTACACACACACACTACACACACACTACACACACTACACACACTACACACACTACACACACACTACACACACTACATACACTACACACACCACACTACACACACTACACACACTACACACACACTACACACACACACACTACACACTACACACACACTACACACACACTACACACACTACACACACTACACACACTACACACACACACACACACACTACACACACTACACACACTACACACACTACACACACTACACACTACACACACACACACTACACACTACACACACTACACTGTCACTACACACACACTACACACACACACACTACACACACTACACACACTACACACACACACACTACACACACTACACACTACACACACACTACACTGCACACACTACACACACTACACACACTAACACACTACACACACACTACACACACTACACACACACTACACACACTACACCACCCACACTACACACACTACACACAAAACACACACTACACACACTACACACACTACACACACTACACACACACTACACACACTACACACACACTACACACACTCACACACACCACACACTACACACACTACACACACTACACACACTACACAGACTACACACACACACTACACACACACTACACACACTACACACACTAGACACACACACACACTACACACACACTACACACACACACACTACACACACTACACACACTACACACACACTACACACACTACACACACTATACACACACTATACACACTACACACACTACACACACTACACACACTACACACACACTACACACACTACACACACTGATGGCCGTCGCGGGCAGGACCTGGCCACAAGCCGCTCGTCGGTCCCGCGGGCGCGCGCGCACGCCGGCCGGGAAGGAAGGGAGACCGCAAGGCCCTCTCAAGGGAAAGGGCGGGGCACGAGGAGCAGCGGCCGCGGCGCGGGGGCGCTGACGGCCCGGGGGGGGGTGGCGGCAGCGGGGCAGGGTTGCCAAACGGGCGGGGCAGCGAGGCAGCAACGGGCGGCGGCCACCGAACGGGCGGCCGCCAGGCGGGTGCGGAGGCGGGGAGCAGGGCAGCGAGCCACCGCGGGGCCGCGGCAAGACCAACGACCAGCACCAGTGGGAAACCGGGGGCGAACACACAGACACACACGCACGCACCACACAGACCATGCAACAGACACAAGACAACACAGACACAAACAGACCACACAGACCACACAGACCACACAACACACACACGACACACGCGACACACATACACACAAACCACACACAACGCACACACCACACACAACACGCATACACAACACACAACACACAACACAACCACAACACACATCAAACAACACAGACAACACGCGTACAACACACAACTTACACGCACGCACCACGCAACACAAAACCACAGACACATGCACAGAAGCACACACGCACACACACACACGCACATACAACAAACCCACACTATACACAACAAACACAACACACAACGCACACAACACACAGCACACAGCACACAACACAGGCACGCACAGAGACCACACACACCTCACACGTAGTTCGCACAACATCACATACAACACGCGCAACACCCCCACAAACGCACACACTGCAACCGCACAACACGCACACACACAACGCGCAACATACAACACACAACCACAAAACAAGCAACACACACACACACACCGCACGCAACACACACACACACAATACGCACACGGACGCACGCACGTACGCACGCGCGCATGCACGCACGCACGCACCCCCACACACACACACACATAACATAATGAACTTCTTGAGCCCTGAGGGGGACCCAGATGCTGGACGAACAGTGGGGAGCCACAGTAGCAAGCATACACCTTCGGAATTCAAGGCGGATTGCCCTGGTCGGCCTTTGACCCCATCCCCTTGTGCGCCGAGGACGCCAGCGGCTGGGGGCGCCGCCAGGAGGCGGGTGGGGGCTCAGCGCCCACCCAAGAATTCTCGCGGACCTCCAACGACTCATGTCGGACAACGTATATTCTCCTGTCGAAAAAGAAAATCGACTCTACCCCCCCCCCACCTCTCGGCGTTATCACCCCCCCCGCGTCCAATGTAAATCACATATGATTATGACCACATGTCCATCCTAAATATGAAATCGCAATGTCCCAGGCCAACAGGGTTCCCCCCCCCGAGGTTCCCTTGTAAAAAACACTATGCGGTGACATGTTTTGTTCTGGCATAACAGTCTTTCACGAATCCCTTGTTAGAAAAATGACGAAGTGCACACGCGCGCGTCGTCGCGCGCGCATGCCGAAATGCTTCAAAAACATTCGGTGCCGGAAGGATTTCGCAATCGAACTTCCTAAATGCATACAAAAACACAAGGTTTCGCAACACTGATTTGCTAAAGAAGCTTACGCGCGATCTTGCGAAATCTTAGGAATACATTTTTTTCAAGATTTTCACAAAATGCTACCACACGGCCTTCGCGCGCGCGCATGTCGAAATCTGTCGAACGTCCTTTCGCGTGTGCCGTCGAGAGTCTTCTGCAAAAAAAAAAAAACGAATTCCAGACGCGCGCGTCGTCGCGCGCGTACGCCGAAATTCTTCAAAACCCATCGGTTTCGGAAGGATTTCACAATCGTGTCCAAAGAACATACAAAAACACAAGGTTTCGCAACACGGATTTTCAACACAAGCGTGCGCGCGCGCGCTCTTGCGTCGTCGTCGTCGTCGTCGTCGTCACAGTCCTCCCTCCTCCCGCGTCGTCGTCGTCGTCGCCTACGTCGTCCTCTGTCTTTCCTCGTGTTCGTCGTCGTCGTCCTCTTTAGCGTCGTGGTCGTATCCGTCGTCGTTGTCGCCGTGGTCGTCCTTCCTCCTTCTCCCTCGTCGTCGTCGTCGTCCGTCGTCGGCGTCTCGTCGTCCTCCCTCCCATTTCGTCGCCGTCGTCGTCGTCGTCGTCGTTGTCGTCGTCGTCGTCTTCCCTCCTCCCTCGTCGTTGTCGTCTTCGGCGTCGCCGTCCTTCCTCCTTCTTCGTCGTTCGCGTCGTCGCCGTCCTCCCTCCTCCACTCCTCCCTCATCGTTGCCGTTGTCGTCGTTGTCGCTGTCGTCGTCATCCCTCCTCCCTCGTCGTCGTCTTCCTTGGCGACGTCGTCGTCGTCTTCGTCGTCGTCGGCGTCGGCGTCGTCGTCTTCGTCGTTGTCGACGTCAGCGTCGTCGTCGTCGACGCCGGCGTCGTCGTCAGCGTCGGCGTCGTCATCGTCGTCGTCGTTGTCATCGTCGTCGTCGTCGGCGTCGGCGTCGTCGTCGGTGTCTTCGTCGTCGTCGTCGTCGTCGTCGTTGTCGGCGTCGTCGAAGTCGTTGGAGCCGGTGTCGTCGTAATCGTTGTCGGCGGCGTCGTCGTCGTGGTTGTCGCTGTCGTCGTCGGCGTCGCTGTCGCTGCCAGTGCCATTTGGTTTAAGAGATTTTGCAAACGAAGTTGCGGGTGGGTGGGTGGGTGGGGTGTTTGCGCGAGCAGTGGAGTGGACAACTCATTGCGAACATAAACTGATTCTCCTTTCTAAAAAGAGAATAGACTCTACCCCCCCCGGACTTATCCGTTCCCCTTTCGGGTATGTAAATCATATATGATTCCGACCACTCGTCCATCCTAAAAATGAAATCATACCATCCCAGCCAGGCCGGGTTCCCCCCCCTGAGGTTCCCTTGTGAACACACTATGCGGTGACATGTGTTGTTCTAACATAGCATTTTTTTCACGAACCCCTTGCAACAAATGGGACGAAGTGCGCACGCGCGCGTCGTCGCGCGCGCATGCCGAAATGCTTCAAAAACCTTCGGTGCCGGAAGGCTTTCGCAATCGAGCTTCCCAAAAACATTAAAAAAACAGGGTTTCGCAACACTGATTTGCTAAAAAAGTTTCCGCGCGAGCTCTTGCGAAATCTTAAGAAAACCATAGGTTTTCAAGATTTTCACAAAATTCTACCAAACGGGCTTCGCGCGCGCGCGCATGTCGAAATCTGTCGAACGCCCTTGCGCGTGTGCCGTCGCGAGAATCCTCTGCAAAAAATTTAACGAAGTGCAGACGCGCGCGTCGTCGCGGGCGTATGCCGAAAACCTTCAAAACCCTAAGGTTTCGCAAAACGGCAAGGTTTGCCGTGCGTCCAAAAAACCAACAAAAACCTAAGGTTTCGCACAACGGATTTTCAACAAAAGCGTGCGCGCGCGCGCTCTTGCGTCGTCGTCGTCGTCGTCGTCGTCGTCGCCGTCCTCCCTCCTCCCGCGTCGTCGTCGTCGTCGCCTACGTCGTCCTCTGTCTTTTCTCGTGTTCGTCGTCGTCGTCCTCTTCGGCGTCGTGGTCGTTTGCGTCGTCGTTGACGCCGTGGTCGTCCGTCCTCCTCCTCCCACGTCTTCGTCGTCGTCCGTCGTCGGCGTCTCGTCGTCGGTTCTATTTCGTCATCGTCGTCGTCGTCGTTGTCGTCGTCGTCTTCCCTCCTCCCTCGTCGTTGTCGTCGTCGGCGTCGCCGTCCTTCCTCCTTCGTCGTCGTTCGCGTCGTCGCCGTCCTCCCTCCTCCCTCGTCGTTGTCGTCGTTGTCGTCGTTGTCACCGTCGTCGTCTTTCCTCCTCCCTCGTCGTCGCCTTCGTTGGCGTCGTCGTCGTCTTCGTCGTCGTCGGCGTCGTTGTCGTCGTCGAAGTCGTCGGAGACGCCGTCGGTGTCGTCGTCGTTGTCGTCGGTGTCGTCGTAGTCGGTCTTAAGAGGTTTTGCAAACCAAGTTGCGGGTGGGAGGGTGGGATGTTTGCGCGAGCAGTGGAGAGGACAGCTTCAAGTTGAGCAAGTGAATTGCACCACGTAGATTGTGCCGCATTAGTTGCTCCACATAGATTGCACAACATATATTGCTAGAAACACACTGTGTGGGGTCCACGCTGGCTAACATATGTTCGTGGTTTGCGCCACTCGAGAACGCTGTAGCCCCGTTGCAGACGACCACTGCGACACCAAGATAGAGAGCCAGCCGACCCGATAGCGACACCGACGGACCAAAAGAAGCGCAGAGAGACTCAGCGGCTCAACAGCCGAGTAAACCCCGACCGAATGCAGCCGACTAAACACCTGAGCCGACCGAACTTGCATTTTAACGACCAGGTGGGAAAAGCTCAGGGGGGCGGGAACACCGAGCCGGAATCGGCTGTACATCGCCGATGCATCGGCAATAGGGCCCAGACAGCGAAACCGCACGTTCCTTGGCTGGGTGGGTATTGGCATTGGTGGGCGATTGGGAGCCGATGCATCCCCCCCCCTTGATCTTATCGCCCCCTGACGTTGTCCCTTCGAACTGCGAACGCCCTTGCTGCCCCCTTCCCTAGGATGCCTCTGGCCTAAGGTGCCCCAAGTTTTCTGTCAATGTTGGATCCCCAGGGGCCCTCTGCTGGGCCTCGTGAGGGGTGCTCTGGAGGCCATGGGGGCCTCCTTGGAAGTCCTGGGGGCACCTTGGGCCAGGAGCACTTCTAGCAACACCCCCCCGCCTCTGTCTGCGAGCACCAAGGCTCCGCTCTCCAGGACCAGCTCGCCGGTGGCCGGATCCTCGCCGACCGAGGGTCAGTGCATCGGGGGCCTCCTATTCACAACATTGTTCTGCTTTCTCGGGCGGCTGCTCTGGGGCGTTAATGAAAGGGGGGCGATAAATGCGGGAGGGGACGAGTGCACCTGTCGTGCCCGCTTTGGGCCCCAGGGGGCCTTCTGGCCCCTTTAGTGTACAACAGGTACACCTTTGCTCCCCCCCTCCAATTTATCGCACCCCCATTACTCGACGCCGGATGCTTCGTCCTAGGAAGTACGCCGGGCGGGGGGGCAAGGGCGGAGAAGGAGAACGTGAGGGGCACGATGCATCATTACACCACGACGCTTGGCCGGCAACGGAGCTCGGTGTATGACACCCCAGCTGCCCAACCTGTGGGTCGCTGGAGCGTCTATACGTAGAATTTCGTTGACGAGTTCATTTGTTTCTCTGCCGACCACGCGACGTGATGCCGCCATCCAGCACCTCTGAGAGACGAGGAGGAGGCGACGCCGAGACGAGGACGCAGCGAGGCCAGGAACAGGAATTGTCAACAACAGCACGAGGTTGAACTTTCAGAGGTCTCCAGGAATTGTTTTGGTCGGCGCTGAACTCCCCTCCCCTGGCGCGCGCAACGCGGCACGGGCAGCGCCAGAGGATTTTCGCCCAACAAGGCGCCAGGGGCTCCGACAGTAGGGGCCAGCACCGAAACAAGAAAACCGGACGTTTCCCCAACAAGGTTAATGGTAACGTTTTTTTGGTATTCGAAGGAGCTAAGGTGGCGAGCGCAACGCCTGGTTGCATCCCACCGTTGAACCGCAGGTTGAGAAAGAACGGAACATTTGCCAGAGCAAGTAGGGAAAACACTTTGACAGGCGGCTTCCCCCATCTGAAAACACTATACGGTGCGAATTGAGCCGGTAGGCTTTTCAACTCCTCCTCCTCATTTTCCTCCTCCACTCCACCTTGCACTCCTGCTCCTTCTACGCACTTCCTCCTCTGTACTCACTTCTCCCGCCTCGGCAATGTGTGAACTGGCCCAGATGATCCAACTCATCCCCTGCTCATGGCGATCTGTTACGGAGACTCGCCCTTGGTCAGCTGCTCCCCACATACTTACTACCCACGCCTCCCCCCTCCTCCTTGGGCCTCCTCTCTCCTCCTCTCCATCTGCCCCTCCCACTCGTTATCATCCTTCCCCATTCTCCCTCTCCTGCTCCCTCTCCTCCTCATCCGTCTCCCTCTTACTCCACATGATCCTCATGGCCCTACTTCGTGGCCTTCCTTCGTCGCGACGCCAGGTCGGCGCGGGGCGCGGTCCTTGTTGATGGATGCGGTGAGGCCCACAGCGCTGCTCCCCTTGCCTGAGATGTGGGGGGAGCATGCCCTGGTCGCGCACACGCTCTGGCGCAGAGCACAGGCAAGTCCAGCAGCTGGGAAGGGCCAACAGAGCCTCACGAAAGGGTGTGCAAATTCTTGCACCTACTAAAAACAACAACAACACAATCAGGCAGCCTCCCAACCCCGGGAAGGAGGAGGAGGAGGAGGAGGAGGAGGAGGAGGAACAGGTTTTAAATTGTTGGGGATCCTCGGGGATTTTCGTGCCCGTGGAGGTATTGGGGCGTTCTGGCGGGGTGTCAGAGGGTGGAGGTGACGAGCAGCAGGACCGATCCCCCCAAGCCAGCCCCCCCTGTGACACTGCACAGGGAGGGCAATGGTGAGAAGGGAGGAGGGACGAAGAGGGTGATGATGACGAGACAACTTGGATGGGGAAGGGGCGGCATCCCTTGACGTGCCTGGAGACACCCCTGCGCGCCCTCCCCCTGCCCCAGAAAGGCCCGCGCGCGCCTGAAGTGTACACGCCGCGAGGGGCCAGCTTGTAGGCGTACCTGGCGGAACCCCGGCCAGCCAGCCGCGGCCAATCGGTGACGAGGACGGTACGACGACTGCCACCCCTCCACCCTCGTCCCCCAGGAGGGTGTTCTGGTGATCTCTAGTGGCTCCTCCACCTCTTCCACCTTCTCCATCCTCTTCCGTCCACCTGCTGCGCCGCTGCCTCCCTCCTCCTCCTCCTCCTCCTCCTCCTCCTCCTCCTCATTCATTCATTCATTCATTCATTCATTCATTCATGGGCCTGAGGAGGTCAGCCAAACGAAGCTCGCCTGACCCCACCGCAAAACAGCCGAGCGGGGCCTCGGCCTCTCCTGGGCCAAGGCCCCGCACCCACGTTGCCCAGAGCCCGAGGGCTCTTGAAGGCTCGAGGGGTAATCCGCTGGCCGTATCCCCGAAGGGCGCCCCACCGCGGCCCAGCGATCCCCCAGGGGCCCAACAGAGAATGGCGACGGGAGGGGTGCGGGCGGGGGGGGCACGGCCAAAGCTGAAATGCACGAAGAGGTTCGAGGCCTCCCCCTCCACAAATCTAGACAATGCCTTCGACCACCAACACAAGGACGACGCGACCTGCCACCCCAGGTGCAGGCAGCGCCTGGACGGTGGCCGGCCGCGCCCCAGATGTGGGGTAAGCACACGGATGCCTGCCCTGTGGGTCAGTCGCATCGGGCCGTGCGCGATAGGCAGAAACAAATTAACACACACACTCGCTGACTGCTCTGGGCAAAATCTAAATTGAGGCACCCCGCATCTCGCCTGTCTGGTCATGCCACCACGCAGCTGGACTGTGGAGGGCGCGCCAGGGGCGGCACAAGCGGGTGCCTTTCGGCCACGGGAGTCGCCCGCGGCGGAAATCGCGAACCTGGGCTATTTTCTTGCGTCCACAGGGGCCGAGGAGAGGCCTGGGAGTCCTGGTGCAATAGGAACCGCACCTGGAGCAATACAACACAGGAATGCCCGAGCTTTCAATTTTAGCGGCCCAACGTTTGTGCCCTGGTGCTGGCAGGTCGCTACCGCTAACCAGGGCCCCAAAACTGTGTGGGAAGGCAGCACATTTGGAGTCTCTCGATGTCGGGGCTTTGAAGCTCTTGGCGCAAGCCAGACACTGCCAGAGACGACCATTCCACAGAACATTATGCTGCCTGATGTGTTGGGGGGGGGGTGGCCTTAAACTCTTCGACTCTTTGTATAGGGTACCGTGCATCTCGCGGGCCGTCGGCCAAAGCTCAAGGATTGAAACGGCAGCCTTGAGCACGGCGAACCAGCCATCTAAGGAATCCTTTACTGCATCGGCGTCCTGGGGGCTGGCGAATTTTCTGGCGGCCTCACGACACAGAACATCTGCCCAACCATTGCCCAAAACAATAAGTTGCTGCGCCCATTCACGATCTCCTCGTAAAAATGTTTGGTGAGCCTTTACCTTATGTATAGTGAACTGTTTATCTAACTTCTGAATCGCGCGCCAGTGCCCCGCCTGTTGGGACGTGCCATCTAGGGCACGGAACGAAAAGGCACATCCCGTCAGCCTCCTCCTCCTCCTCCTCCTCCTCCTCCTCCTCCCCCCTTCCCCTCCTCGTCATCCCTCCTTCCCCTCCGTCCTCACCTTCTCTCACGCCCCGTATCATCTTTCCTCCTCCTGCCTCCACCTTCTCCTCCTGCCCCAATGCCCCATCCTCTCATCTTCTTCCCCCCGTGATCCCGACTCTTTCTCATTTCAGATCCGCTCGCCCTTCTCATCATCCCCTTCTCTGGCAGCTGGCTCAACAGTTTGAGAAGGCGTGCAATTGCAGCAGGCTCATAGGCACACGCTCCCAATGGCCTCAGCTGTGTGGATGGTGACCTATCGGGCGAGCAGCGAAGATGTTCTCGGAGAACTGGGGCGGAGGCGAAGTTCGAACCCGACTCCATCAGCTAACAAAAATATGAAGGCTCAAGCGTGTGAGAGTGGCGTGCAGCCGCAGCAGGCCAACGTGGCAGAGAGATGGGCAAGCGATGGCAGCAGGCACTCAAGGGTGCGAGAAACGCGCGCAGGGGCAGCCGGCTGAAGAGTGCGAGAAGGCTCGAGAGTGTGAGGAGGGCGCGCAGTGGCAGCAGGCTCGAAGGCACAGGCTCGAAGCGGCGAAGTGTGCTCCCAACGGCATCAATTGCGCAACAAGCGGTGATCCCAGGTGTGCCGGCAGCTCCCTCGGCGATCCGGCACGGGGGCGAAACCCGAGCCAAGCGACACCAGCTACGAAGGGCAAAGGCGAACCCGAATGTGATCTGCTGCGCCATGGGGAAGAGCGCGCACAGCGGCACCAGTACGTCAGGTTCGTGTCGTGACGACCCCGGCGTTGGTTTCTGACTCGGCGTGGATCGTTCAACCTTGACCGATCGGCGACTGTGGATCGCTCGATCGTTCCATATAGGCCGATTATGGGCCACTGGCGGCGTTCAACCTTGAACGCCCGCGGCGGGGTCGCCGCCGGTCGACACGACGCGAACCTGCCGTACACGTCGGTCGGAAGAAGTAGGTAGAAACATGAAGTAGGAAGGCGGACATAGTAGATTGGGCCCAGGTCCTCCAAGAGGATACGAAAACACAGCAAAAGCATGCCGACTCTTGAAGAAGGAAGGCGCTTGAAGTAGATTGGGATCTGGGAATCCAAGAATACCTCGACCGGCGTGTAGGCGAGCAGAACAATGTGGGCAACTCGCGCAACGATCCCGCGCGAGTGGGTTTTAGATCCGCCACCGCGCCTTCAGCACGTAGTGGAATGCCACGAGGCTCACGCAACCCTGAGGGACTCAGAATGATAGGGTTTAATACGGTAGGGCCCAGGCCACCGGTTTCACAAGGATTTCCGGGGATTTCCAGGGATTCCCCGGGCGTGTCGCATGCGTCCTCCGGTAGCGGAGCCGGCCAAACATGGGCCCAGAAAGCGCCCAAGAGGGCCGAAGATGTCTCCAAGAAGGCCCAAGAGTTCCCCAACTCGCCCAAGATGGCCTCAGCACGGCCCAAGAGGCCCCCAAGATGTCCTTAGTGTTCCAAGAGGCGTCCCGAGAGGATCCCAAGAGGCAACAATTATTTATTTCCCATCGGCTATTCAGGGTTTTTAGTCTTGTCGCCTTTTCGGCTTTCCGACGCTCCAAGACAGCCCACGAGGGCCCCAAGATCGCCCCAAGACGGCCCCCAAGAACTCGCCCAAGACGACCCAAGAGGGCCCAAAGACTGCCCCAAGAGGGGGCCGACCAGGGCGTGTGCGAGACGGGTGGGATGTTGCGGCAAGTCCCGATGGGACCTGTCAAGACGGGTGAGGCGAAGTTGGAGCCTGAGTGTCCAAGCCCGTGCCAGGACGAGAGTGGCAAGCTGTACGCATGGGCGGGCCGAGGTCGCAAAGAGTGGGCCAGCCTGTCGATGTGGTAGCGCGGAGGTGGCTCGTGCGTGGGTGTGTGGGCAAGGGTTGTGGCCGTGCTGAAGGGTCGCGGATGCAGCCAAGACACAGGCTGCGCCCTCCGAAGCACTCGCGTTCGCGAGCCTCGATAACCTGGGGAAAACTCCTCCTAGGTGTCCTCCTTCTCCTCTTGTCTCCTCATCCTCCTTCTCATTCTGCCTCCCTCCTCTCCTCCTGCTCCCCCTTCCCACGCGCGAAGGACGCCATGACATCCTCCTCGACCTTCTCATCAACATGGACCTCCTCGCCGGCATCATCGTCGAACTCCTCCTCGTCCTCCTCCTCCTCCTCCTCCTCCTCCTCCCGTCGTCCTCCTCCACGTCCTCCTCCTCCTCCTCCTCCCTCCTCCTCCTCCTTCTCCTCCTCGTCCTCCTCCTCATTATCCTCGTCCTCCTTCTCACCCTGCAACGGCCAGACAGACTCTCATGCTCGAGCAGGCGAGTCGCACACGTCGTGTTGAACCTCGCGTGGAAGGTGACACATCAAAGCTCGGACACTTTGCAGCTGGTCCGCTCCGCCCTTCAAATGCCAATGCAGCATGGTATGCAAGGAGGGGTCAAGGCGGGAGGGAGGGGGCGGCGGCCGGAATTTTTGCATTGGAGAGGGGACCTGTATGCATGGGGCTTCCCCGGGACAAGCGTTTCACCCTGACACCCGTTGACGGCCCCAGGGCGCAGGAAGGAACCTCGGAGAGCGAGAAAGATGAACATCCTTAGGGCCCCGCTCCCCCAGTAACCTTTTTTCACTTCCTGGCGGGGAGGACGGTTGAAACGCATCCACTATAGCTTTTGTCGACGTACCCGTGCCCGCTGACTCGGTCGATCTGTCTGCCTTGATTCCCGCCCGCTCATACTCAAAGTGGTATTCGCATCTCAGGTCCTGATCCTAGCTTCTCTTCTGCCGACCCCCTTTCCTGCGTCACTTCTAGAGCATGCTTGTCTCTCTCCGTTTCTTCCTCCTCCTCCTCCTCCTCCTCCACCTCTCCTCCTCCTCCTCCCTCTCCCTCCCCCTCCCTCCCCTTTTCTCCTCTCCTCCCTCGCTCCCTCCTTCACTCGCTTCTTCACTCCCTCCCCTCCCCCCGCTCCACCCTCCCCCGTCCCTCCCTGGCCCCTCCCCCTGCCGCCCATACGCCCTCCCCTCCACCCAGCCCCTCTCTCCACTCCTCTTCTGCTGCCCCTCCCTCCGTGCCCCCCTCCTCTCCGCGCAAGGGTGGCACTGCAATAACTGAGACTTGGCGGTCGAGGGGTCGCCGCACAACAGCGTGTTGATCTCCGGACGGCACCTGGTTTGGAGGCCCGAGGGACCGACTCTTGGTCCGCAAGACAGTAGGAGCAATCTGCGAAGACGAAGAAGGCAAGGCTAGGGAAGCAGGGAAGAGGAAGGAGCTGGAGGAAGAGGAGTCGGCTCGGCGGAGAAGAGCATCATGCCTTCTCCTGCTGCTGGCCAAGATGTGTCATGCTGTTCCTGTGCATCCTCCTCCTCCCTGTTGCTCCTGCTACTCTACCTCCTACAATCCTCTTCACACCGTCCTTGCTGCAGGGGCGAACCTTCCCTTCGTGGTGGTGTTGAGTACCTTCGGGGTGCCGCCGAACAACTGGCAGAGCAGACCCTTCTTGACTTCGTCCTCCTCGAAAATCGAAGGCGCGAAGGACTGCACGAGCTTGCTCACCTGCATTGCTTATCGAGCGTAACTGCTGCTCCCGCTCCTACCCCTGCGCGCCCTTCTGTCTGCCCCACTAGCGGCTGTGGCCCTCCTTCAACGGCACCGCCTCCCATTCCGCTTCACTGCGTGAGAACAAACGCCCATCTGTAATAGCTCTGGAAACCACCATCACACGGACAATTCGCACATACATTCCCAACCAAATCCGCCTAACCCTTTGGGGTCATGAGGCGTGCGGCGTTGCTCCCCCTTCCTTTCTCCGCGCCCACCACCCGTTCACGCAAACGGCGAGCCCCCGTAGCCCAACACGCGCGGCCCCGTGTTGCTGGGATCCCATTTTCTCGCCTGACGCGGCCAAGATGTGGCGCAACCGATGTCCTACACCTTGGGCGCCATGATGCTCCCCGTCCGTTGGAGCAAACTAGCGTAATCGCAGAGTCCCGCACATTGGCGAGCCCTCGGCTTCCCGCCCCGCCGCGCCAACATGCAGCATTCCGAGGCTCCTGTACTTTATAGCGCACAATGGAGTTCTGGCTCCACCCTGCCAGCGTGCAGCGCGCACCACATTCCCCATGTTGCCCAGGCTGATGCCGCCACCGTCACGTAAGACCGCGCGCCACCTAGCTTTCAACGCGCAGCCTGCGCATGCATACCGAGCGTGGACAAAAATGGCACCTCTGCTTTCACCACCGCGTGCCGTCGCACATACCCGCCCGCTACGCGGATGATCAATACATGACTCCGAAGCGATCGCAGCAACAATGAGCGTTGCCCCGTTTGCCCCGTATAATCCTCGCACGCGCACGAATTGCGTTCCTCGGGGTCATTCGGCGTCTCAGATCATCTTGTGTGTTCACAAACCTGACGGGGTGCGTCTGGGCCACCACTCCGCACTGGGGGGGAAGTCGACTTCCACTAAAGCAAGAACCGGCACTAGGGAGAACGGTGGGCCCCGTACCCCTCACGGGGAGAAGCTCCAGAACGGCGAGAAACCTCTACTCTCGAAACTCCCACGCCAGGCGGCGAGATGACCTCGTGCTGGCCGGCTTTAGTGTCGGCGGAGGCCGCGGCGAAAGCGACCGCTCCGCGCATCCTCAGCATGGCCGCCCTTTCACATATCCCTGTCGTTGCACTCGCTCGCTCGAGGACGCATCCCCGCCCTCCTCGTTCCTCGAACCCCAGGGACTTAGGGTTGGTTCAGAAACCTGTAACCCCCACCTCTCGGGACCCCCATGATTGCGGGCCGACCTCGTGCGGGGCCCGGGTCGAGCACCGCCGAGGAGAGCACAGCGCATGATCACGAAGATCCTTGTCATTACGGACCGTTGCAATGTTGAGACTGCCGCAATCGGATCTCACCCCTGGGTTCGAGGACAAAGGGCTTCACACGCTTTTGGCCTTTTGGGGGGGCCGGCAGGGACCTCTCGGCACCTCCAACGCCACCCGCAGGTGGGCTCAGATCCCATACTGCGTGGCCTCCTCCTCCTCCTCCTCCTACTCCCCTCCTGCGCTTATCCCCGGACCCTGGCACACCTAAGCCCCCCGCAACGGTCCGCGCACCGTCGGAGTCGAGCTCCTCGGCGAGCGCTCTGACCTTCAGGTTCCACCTCATCAGGCGGAACGGCCGTCGGCTTGGCCAGTCGTGGGTGGCTTCGCGCCGCCGCGGGGAGTGGAGGCAGCAACGGCAGGTCCTGTCGTGACGATTTGTGCGTTGGCTTCTGACACCGCGTGGGTCGCTTGGCCTTGAACGATCGCGACGTTCCGACACCACAAACTGTTTTCGATATCGGCCGAGGTTGGGCCTCTGGCGACGTCCAACCGTGGACGTCCGCGCTCGGGTCGCCGCCGCGTCGACTCCGTACAGCACGCGGCCAACCTCGAAACTGCGGGAGTGAGACCAAGGCCACCCAACAACACACACGGTGCGCCAAGGGGAGGGAATATCACCAAACAATATCAATCAAATATCTCTGGGAATCTCGCGGATCGCCGCGATGCCCGCTCCGTGGCCAGACTTATGCCACCAGGAGGCCGGCCGAGGCAAGGAACGACGCCCCGAGGGAGGGCAGATGTTTCGAGTGTCCCGTGCTTTAAAGCCACGACTGTGTACAAGGAGGGCGGCACGTAGAGTGGAGGGAGGAAAATGACAGGCGAAAGGAAGACAGAGGAGATGGGGGTGGGGAACCGCAGGTGATGTGCAGGTAACTGGGGAGGGCACCTTGCAGATTGCATATGGATGCTTGGGGGCGACCTGCAAATGTGTGTGCGTGTGTGTGCGTCGCTCCCTCCGCCGCAGTCGGCAGCTCTGAGTGGCCTGGCTTCCTCTCCCCCTGACGCGCCGGGGCTCCTTCTCCTCCTCCGTGCGTTGCGGCCGTAATTTGCTTACAGCGTGTCACCTGTTGCCATTCCGCACGAGCAGTCACCCTCTGCCCAGCCGCCGACGCAAAAAGTGTGGGGAGTCATGCAAGGAAGGAGGGAGACGCGAGACCATTTCTGCTATGCAGGAATCTGTCTGGCCCCTCTCCATGGTCTACTACAGTCGCGCTCCGCACTGCGCGAAGAGCGAGGCAGGGATAGCGTCGCGTCTCGAGCCGCCTCGCCTGGAGACAAGAGGAAAAAGGGGGACAAAGAAAACGTGGGATCATGAAGAGAAAACAAAAAGCCCAGACCAAACCGCGAACCGCGAACCGCGAATAACTTCGCGCCATCACGGAAACCCTTGCCTCACGCCTCTGGGCCGCCCCCTCCCATCGCGTCTAATCAGAGACCCTGGGACCCCCCCCTGAAGTCATGGGTTACCTGGCGGCTGCGAGAGAGGATGCGACCTACAATCCTCAGGGATTCAGCCACAACACACCTGTGATAGAAGCCTTGACACCGCAAACGGATGACACAGTTCGATGGGTTCAAAATCTGGAAACCCTGTACATTTCATTGCAACACTTTCGAGATCCACGAAATCCAGTGTTGGGCGCGCTGGTAAAATGCAAGCGTTGTCTCGAAGCGCTGTACCTGTAAACAGAGGAATACATCTACTGGATGAGTCTGTACAAATGTGCTCTCTCGGGTTGACCTCCAATACGCCAAATCGGGATGACTTCTTGGACGAGAGTCACATCTGCAATCGCCTCCTCGGATCCGCCCAGGGAGGACCCATTCCAGAGGGGGCTGTGTAGGGTCTCCTCGAAACGATCCACCATGGGCATGTGCCTCTAATGGAGGGATGCCCCTGCGTCACCGCCCCCCCTGGGTCTTCTCTCGGCGCCCCTTCCGTGAGGGTCTCCAAGGCCGTTTGCTTCCATTTGCGAGGTTGGGATAACGCATGTGACCTGGGGGAGCCTGCGTCACCGCCCCCCTGGGTCTTCTCTCGGCGCCCCTTCTGTGAGGGTCTCCAGGGCCGTTTGTCTTCATTCGCGAGGTTGGGATCGCGCATGTGACCTGGGGGGAGGGGACTCAGCAGGCTAGGGGGACGGTGACGGTTGCGGCGGCGTGGTCGCACCGCAGAAGCCCGGCCCTTGAAGTACAAGATCATGCCTGCGAGCGTGACACCATGCACGGTAGTGCGCCAGACCCCTGCAATATCAATATAGACTACGGACGTGGTGGCATGCTTGCGAGCGCCAATGAGCATGCCTCTCATTGTAGATTTTTTATCGAGCGAAACCGTAACGTGGAGTACGGGGGGGGCGTCGTTACCTTACAGTGGGGGTGGGAGGTGGGAGGATCATTTCTTCTTGAAGAACCATTGTCGAGAACCTTACGACCCCCCCATTGCGAAAGGAGGAAAGGAGGGGATGGCAAGGAAGGAAGAACACGAGGGGGAAGGGAATCACGCTGCACCAAGGTACCGAGTGAGGGAACTGCGAAGCAACACCTTGCGCCCTCTGGGCACGCAAGCCGATTTAGGCAACAAGCACATAGGATGAGAGAAGGCGGAGGCGGAGAGGAGCAAGGCAAGTACCCCATTGATGGCTCGCTCATGAACAAGGGCAGAAACGCAAACATCCGGGAGACTACATCACACCAGAGACCGCGATCTGCGGCATTTGCGTCTGCGCCCGCCGCCCCAGGGTTCTCGGCCTCGTGCAGAGGAGCCCCACGGGCCTCCAGGATCCTGCGAGAGCCTTGCCTGCCCCCCACTCGGCCCTGGAGAAAGCCCTGGCTCTCAGGGCCGCGCTTTATGGCGGTCGAGTTTTACTATTTCCTGGCGTCGCCTGCCCGATCAAACGTGAAGATCGAGTCGAGGGTTCCGCCCTTCCCCTCCCTCTCCAAATCCTCCCGTCCCCTCTCTCCCGTCCCCTCTCCCCCCGTTCCCCTCCCCTCCTTGAGCAGATCAAACTCATATCAAGCATGCTGCTCCATTCATTTGTGTTGCATAGCGCCGTGCCCCCCCCTCAGGGCCTTCCAATAGCAATCGGAGCCGCAAGGCAAGTGAATACCGCATGTTCAATGGCGAAGAAGTCCGGTGGCAACTCATGGGAGCCTCCTATACCAGATTGTCGGCTAAATAAAAGGGCCCGGAGGCCCAGGGACGCGTGCTGCAAGGCTGGAAGGCGCAATCGACGTGGTTCGCCACCTCCCGAAGGCTGGGCCCCGGGAAGTGGCGGCGCCGCCGGCCAAGTTGCGTGCGCATCCCAAACAATTGCACCCCTGACGAAACGGCACGGGCCAGAGCACACGGGCCAGATCATAAGCTCGGATCCCGTGAGGACCAGACAGAAGAAACCATCGGAAAACGCAACACTCGCACGCAACCTGCGTATAAACTTTTCAGGGGGTCGGTCGGCTCAGTCGGCCCCGCCCGATCGGGTCCTCGCGAATCGCCACGAAGGCTGGGCGGGCGCTCTCGCGCAGGACCCGCCCCCAACCCCGGGGCGAGTGAGGCGTCGGGTCGGTGGCACTTGGCGGCGCTAGCGCTCTGTGCGGTTTGAGGGCGAGTTCAACAAACACTGTGACGGTCGATATCCACCGCAAAACCCAGTCGGCCGATATTTTGAAGATAACGCCCCGCCAAACAATAATGAAACATACAATGTTGTAATGGTTTTGCCCCTTGACTCCTGCATTCTTCCCCCATGCTGCCCTCCCCTCCCCTCCTTCCCTTCCTTCACTTCCTCCCCTCCTCCATCTCAGCTCCTCCCCGATGCCCTGCAATCCTCCCGTCCTCCCCTCCCGGCCAACGCTGGCGCTAGCATTCACATGGGCGCAGTTCGTCTTTGCCCCGTCTCCTCTGCGGCAATGGTGTAAGCCAGGACTCTAAACTGTGATACTGGATGCCTACGTCGGCGCTGCCACACGTTGTCTTGCTTCCGTATCCATCCTAATATTCCTCTGAGGCTCATCCTGCTCCTGCTCCTGCGCCCACGTGATATCCTCTTCCTTGTTAGTCTCGGGGTCGAGGTCCTTCTTGTCTGACAGCCTCGGTACCCCCTCTTTGAGCAACGAGTCAATGTCCTGTAGGCCGCTGTGAGATCATCGCAAGTGGTCAGAAGTTCTCAGTAATGGGCTGTCACGGCGCGCAAGCAAACGAGCCCACGAACCCGCACCAAGATAAACTTATCGTTGCCCCAGCCGTTCCTGTCTTCCACTCCCCGACACGTTCATGCCTGGCCATCCAATTTCGTCTCAACGCCAACAGACACATGACCTGGCCACAATGGCAAGACCGTTGACAGGCCGAACGTATTTGAAATTTGCAAGACGACGTACCTTGATTTCTGGCCCTGTCCAGGCAGACATCGGAGGCAGTGGCCAGTCCTGATCCTCATCCCCCTCCTCCTCGCCCTCCTCCTCCTTCTCACCCCGCCTCCCCCTCCTCCTCCTCCTCCTCCTCCTCCTCCTCCTCCTCCTCCTCCCCCTCTTCTCCCTCCTCCTCCTCCTCCTTCTCCTCCTCCTCCTCCTCCTCATCCTTCTTCTTCTTTTTCTTCTTCTTCCCTCCACCCCCTTTCCTCCTGACAGACGCTCTACTGCCTACATGGCGCACCCCTGGTGAAAAAAACACCGAGCCCACATCGCAGTCCTCCACCGGCTGGTCGATGCGGCCAGCGGCCTCCGAGGTGATGGAGATGGCATCGACATAGGTACGGTAGACCGAGAAGCACTGCTGCCAGTTCGCCATAGGCTTCACTGTGGATTGCAAGTTTGTTGCTTCCACATGGAACGGGGGCGCGACCGCAAAAGTTCATACACCTCCGCCCCCTCCAGCCGCTGTGAGACTCAACACGTCGCAAGGCAACTGTGGACCGCGGGACTGAGAACAACGTGTTATTGCTAGTGCGAGGCGCCATCCATCGCATCCCTGTCGTAGCTGCGCGTCCCCAACACTCATCCACATGCAAGTCTGCATGTGTGCTCGATCTTGCCCTCTCTTCCGTTCGCCCCTCTGTTTACGCAAGACATAGCACTCGTGGGCCAAGTGGCCCGGCCGCACCCAAGCAAAACGTTTGGTGGTATTCTCGTGCTACGTTGCACCCCCTGCAATGCGCAACAACATCGTGGTCAACCATTGGACACTGAAAACCTGTGCTACTTTTACGGCTACCTCCGCTACCATCGGGAGCGGCCAAGAGGGGGGCGTCCAAGAGGGGGGGGTACAAATCATGGCCGGCGGCATGTGCGCGGCCCGGGGGGGGGGAGCCGGGGACCTATTGAAATAAGAAGGGGCGCCCTGAAAGCTGGGGAGATATCATGGCCCACGCCATGATCTCCACCCTCCCCCTAGTCATCCCCCCCCTCTTTGCCGCCCCAAATGCCATCACTACAGCAACGTGGTCGACCCTCGTGGCCGTGCACCCCATGTGCTGAACCCCATGTGCTGAATGCAACGGCACGCCCTCTGCACCTCCGCGGTCCGAGCACAGCAGCAGCAATGAACGAACAGCGAGGATGATACTGATGCAGAACTATGAAGGATGAGGATGAGGGGGAGGAGAAGCGAGGAGAGATGCAGAACGTTGGCGGGATTGAACGAAGCGAAGGGATGTCCACGCCATGTGACAAACACTCATGCCATTTTTAGCCTGAGCGCGTAAAGCCGTAACCTCAAATCGGGCGACAGCGTAAGGCACGGGTGTTGCAATGCATGCACGAGCCCAGGCACATGCAAGGCATGGGCGCATCGATGCACGAGCAACTACATATAGAAGGAACAGAAGACGAGAATCACGAGTCACGAGTATCCAGACCCATCAGGTGCGGTAGAAATAGGACACGGACTGGTGAGCTCCACTGGTCGGTTTTCCCACGGGCCAAGTGGCCTCCGTAGCCACAACAAAGTGACCAAGTATGTTGCGGCGTCGTAGAAGTATACAATTCACTGGAATCCATGTTTCTAGGGGATGATAATATCTTTGACTCTACGAGCGTGTCTGTGAACTATATCTGGAGATCCCGCGCATGGGGCAATGTCCGAATCTGGGTAATTCGCAAATGAGGTTCTATCGGAGTGGAATTGGGATCCCTTCAAGAAAGACCCTCGCGGGTACCCTCGCCGAGCTTCGACGACTGCCTGTCGAGATCAGCACTGACGTTTGCCTGGAGACACGTGAACTAAGAGGGACTGTATGGCCACGGAACGGCTCGTCGAAGCAACCCTCGTGGGCGGTCAAGTCGTCGCACATGGGGTCTATGCCACTCGTGGGGTCCACGATATGAGGGGCACGATGAAAACATCGCGTGGCATCCTTCCACCAATCTTGTCCAAACCTGGCAGCGTGGATCTCGGTCTTGAAACCATTGACACACCGGGGTAAACGCGCACTCCGCTGTGTCATTGGTCAGTGGCCTATCAGGCGTACTGGTACCGCGGCACGAACCCAACAAACGACAAGCCTTCACAATATCATCAGACTTGTCGGTGTAATAGTTCCCGCCCATGGCAGCAATCAAAACAACATGAGCCAAAAAGAATGACCATGTGACGATTCGACGGAGGTCCTTGGGCCGCTCGCGTTGGCGGGATGTCCTCCTCTGCATAGCACCAACACGCACCCTGGAAGAACCAGAGGACCCAACAGGGTCAACTGCCCCAGTGGTGAAAACGCCGTGGTCGCATGAGGTGTGACATGCATGCAGACTGAGGTGTAAAAACCCTACAATAACTCACGCAGACACGACGGCGAGGGTGACCCTGCATGCGAGGACTTTCTTGAGTTCCAGGTGTGGAACACCATCCTGACGAGAAGGCGGTGCATCTGTCCGCTGGGGTGCCCTCGCGCCCGTCCTCTGAACTCCACTTGGTGGCAACGGCATCGCCGTTGTTTCGCACTCCAGAAACCTTCAAACCAATGTGGTCGTTGACAAAGCATGCTCCTCTCCGAAATGATGCTCCGGCATCAAGATCCCACCAGCCTCTGGGCGTAGGTGGTCTAGAGAGGTTCATCTTACAACCCCCTTTTTCCCCTTCCCCTTACCCCCTCCCCTGGACTTGGATGGGGGTGTTCGCGAGGGGTTGAAGCGTCTAAGTTGGCCCAACACGGCTCCAAGAGCGCCTCAGAGAGCCCACGATGACCTCCAAGATGCTCAAGATAGCCCAAGATGCCTCAAGATGGCTTCCAAGATGCTCCGAGAAGCCACAAGAACGCTCCAAGACGGCTCCAAGTGGCGAAAGAGCTCCCCAAGGAGGCCCTCAAGTTTTGCTTTCGTATTTTCGCTTCCGATGGCCGTCCAAAGCCTCAAGATGGCTCCAAGATGGCCCAAGAGGGCTCCAAGACGGCCACAAGAGCGCTTCAAGAGCGTACCAAGAGGCGATGTCAGCCACTCTAGAAAGGCAGGGCTACTTGAAGCCCCCCTCTATGTTAAACCGATGTCTCCCCAGATGGCTCCAAGAGCGCCCCTAAAGCTCCCAAGAGCACCCAAAGAGGACCCAAGAGTCGCCCAGACGGCTCCAAGAGTTGTCCAACGGGCCTCCAAGAGGCTCCTAAGAGGCCTCAATAGGATCCCCAAATCACCCACGACGCTCAAAGACGGCTCTGGGCCCGCCAATATGACCCCCAAACGCCCCAAGAGGCCTCCCAAAAGCTTCCAAGCGACATCCAAGGAGACTCCGAGAGGCATCCAAGAGGCTTATGGCTCTTCATTTCGTCCTTTTCCTCCTTCTCCTCCCCCCTCCTTCTCCTCCTCCTCCTCCTCCTCATTCTCATCCGCTTACTCCTCCCCCTCCCTCCTGTCTCCTGCCTCCTCCCCTACCTCCTCCTCGTCCTTTTCCTCCTCCTCCTCCTCCTCCTCCTCCCCTTGTCCTTTTCGACTTTCTCCTCCTCCTTCCTTATCCTCGCCGCCCTCCTCCTCCTCCTCCTCCTCTTCCTCCTCTTCCTCTTTCTCTTCCCCCTCCTCCTCCCCCTCCTCATCCGCAAACACATCATCCATCCATCTATCCATCCATCCATCCATCCATCCATCCATCCATCCATCTATCCATCCATCCATCCATCCATCCTCCTCCTCCTCCTCCTCCTCCTCCTCCTCCTCCTTCCTCCTCCTCTTTCTCCTCCTCCTCCTCCTCCTCCTACTCCTCATTCGAACGATAACGACTGTCCCCCATTTTGCCCCTCGCTTCCATGATCGTCTCAGCTCGCCTTGGCGTCGATTTTGGATGGGCTGGTGGGGATGTGCGAAGCGTCGAACATAACACTTGTGAATTGCGTGGTGCGCAGGGCCATGACGAGAACCCAGGGGCACGCAAAGACTGCAACGCGTCTTGCCAACCTCGGGGCCGGAGCTGTTTCCAGCACCGACCTTGCGGGACAATGGGTGCGCTCAGGTGCAATTGCAACAGGGGCGACTATGATACGTACCCCTCGGTCGGAAGAAGTAGGTAGAAGCATGAATTAGGAAATAATCTAATTATATGTGATTCCGTCCGCCCCCTTGAGAGGACGGAAAAGGTGAAGCCACTCGATCATTGAAGTAGGAAGGCGCTTAAAGTATGTTGGAGTCTAGGAATCCTCTAATACGTACATTCAACGACGAATGGGTAAGCATGGGCGCCCGCTTGCTGATGCCGAGTTTGTCTCTAAATGCACTGCCGAATCAGCCGCCTGCTGCGATGCGGGCAACCATTGCCATGGCGATGGGGGCGTAGCAAGGACATGGACAGGGCGAATACACTGTACAGAGACATCTGTGTGCAAACGTCAATGCTGGGAATATCCGCGACTTTCGAACTATATGCGGCACAATTTAACACGACCCCAAAACACAAACCTGGGCTCGACTGCAGGAGAATTCAGCAAGCTTGCGGCAATACCTTACTGGCTTCGGCCATTCCAGGCCTCGTGCCAGCATCCTCCCGCGCCGCGTGCCCGCATAGGCGGCGGGGCGGGCAAGGTCGCGCGCCGGCCGTTGGCCTCACAGGGGGGGGGCTGGGCGTCACCGCTTCGCGGTTGCACTGCCCAGAGGCTGCTGTTGGCCAAACTACTGGGCTCCCCGGTTCGTCCCTTGGCGCTGGCGGCGGCTCGGTCGCGTCCTGGCGCCAGCAGCACATTGACTGTCTTGCCCGTTGCAGGCGCGGTCGCCCGGAGGCTGGGCAGAATCCTCTCATTACGAGCACGGTCCGAAGACACCGATCTCGAGAGTCTGGACTTGCGCCCTGTCACGGTGGCCCCCCGCATTGCGTGCCTTGTCGCCCGCGGCTTTCCCGGTTCCCATCGCGGCCGCGATCGCGGCTGCCGCCGCCCTGACCGACGCGGCGCGAGCCACGTGGCAGCGAACGGCCTCGCCAGGAGCTGCGGACATCGGATCGTGGAGGGCCGCGTCTCGAGCCTGCGGAGGCGGGCCTGCCGCGCCCCGAGCCCCCCGCCAAGAATCCGCGGGTGCTCCCGCCAAGCCCCACCCCCCCTCCAACAACGGGGGGGGGGCTTGGACGGAGGACGGCGGCTGCGCGTGCTGCAGCGGCGGCTCGCGCTTTCGAAGTGGGACCTTCGAGCCCGACGGCATATGTGCGCGTAGGCAACTACTTACGCCATGCCTTTGAACCAACCGCGAGGCGTGCCAAATGACAAGGCAGAGACAAGTGGACGGCCCAGGCCTAGCAGGGGACAGACAGAGAAGATGGTACGAGTCGGGCGCCAGCTCGCAAGACGTCCCAAATTAACTCGAGGCGCCGCTGCCAGATGGGAGAAG